AAATGACTCTCAGTGGTCGTCTCTGGGGTAGGGGGAAGGTAGAGTTGGAATGGATTGAAAAGGAACTTGGGGTTTTTTATTGTACGCATTTCTGTTTCATGGTTTGGTTTTGTTGTTTTTACAACAGGTTGTATCAATATATCACTTATGTACATTTAAAACACAATTCCTTAAGAGAAAATTCTGTGGGAGTTTGTTCATTTTTTAAAACCAAAATGTAATTAAAACCTCAAACTTAACTAATTTTTGTGTAAAGGAAGAAAGTAAAAAAATCTAATGTCAACTTGCCCAGCATGGCCTTTGCTGATTAGAACCTCATCATGAAACTCTTATGCTCTGAAAGGTCAGGGGTAAGTATACATTAAAACAAAAAGACCCTTAAGTTTGGAGGGCAGAATGGCAGCCTCCAAGAGGGAAGGAGGTGGAATTTCAAATACAATCTCCTTGTGCACTCCCAGCACAGGCTCGTGCTTCACATTTGGAGTATGGTCAACTGGTCAAGAACATGGGCTTTTGCATATTGGTTACATGCAACTTACTGAATAAACTAGGTAGCTACCACGTTTTACTCCTTTTTTACAGGTGTTGCCCCTAGTTACACAAGCAAAAGTGGTAAACCCAAGTCCTTTGATCCCTGAGCCTGGGTTGTTTTTGTGGTGTGTGTTTTTATTTTGTTTTAATCCTCATCCAAGGATATTTTTTCCATTGATTTTTGGAGAGAGTGGAAGAGAGAGAGAGAGAGAGAGGAGAGAGAAACATTGATGTGAGACACATCAATAGGTTGCTTCCAACATGCACCATAATTGGGGCCTTGAATCAAACCTGCAACCCAGGCATGTGCCCTTGACCAGGAATTGAACTCGCAACCCTTCTGTGTGCTGGCCAACAATCCAACCACTAAGTCATACCATCCAGGGCTGTAGTTATTCATTTTCAAAAATAATCTTCTTTTAGAAATTATATTTAAACATTTATGGATAAAATGATATGATGGCTGGGAATTGCTTCAAAATAATCCAGGAAGTGCAAAGTGGGAGAAGATAGATATACATGAAATAAGTGTTGAAGCTGCAAGGTGGATACATGAGAGTTCGTTTTATTATTCTCTCTAATTTTTTTGGACAGCCCTGGCCGGTGTGGCTCAGTTGGTTAGAGTGTTATCTCATGTACTGAAAGGTTGCTGGTTCGACTCTGAGTCAGGATACATACCTAAGTTGTAGGTTGGATCCCCGTGGGGGTGTGTATGTGAGGCAACCAATTGATGTTCCTCTCATACATCAATGTTTCTCTCCCTTTCTCTCTTACTTTCCCTTTCTCTAAAATCAGTACACACACACACACACACACACGTCTGGTGAAGATTAAAAACAAAAGAAATAATAAATATTTTGGACAATATCCACAATACAAGCTTAAAAAAAATAGTGTTGGGATAAAGTTGGACAAGATAACCACAGTACAGAGAGTCCAGAACACAAACTGAGGGGCTTAACCTGAACTTCTAGGATTCAAGAAGGTAGGACCTACCTTGTAGAGAACCTGCCAGTCGCTGACCTTGGTGTGGGACAACTTCATGCGTTTCAGAATCAGCTAGTCAGATAAGGATAGTCAGACAGGGGACAACAACTGTTTGCCCTCTCCCACCCGAATGCCCCTCAGGAAGTGCAATGTCCTGGATCGGCCTTCAACCTCCCCACCTCCCTGCCTCCAGCCCTGGGCTCACAGGCACATTCTTGATGTGACCCAGCAACCGATGCAGCATCTGAGCCATGTCCAGATTCTGGGGTAGCAGGAAAAACTGGATGACATCCAGACGAGAATTTAGTTCCCCCAGGTCATGAGTTGGACGTGTGAACCACAGCCTGGAAGTTAAGGTTGGGGTGAGGAGACCTGAAATTACATCTGTTCTCATCATTGTCGTGATCTCAATTTGTGAAAATGTGTTTGCAGGTCCCTGACGATTGTGGCAATATGTATCTGTACTGGCAAGTACAGTGTTCTATCTATGCAGGGGTGTTTACACGCACCTACTGAACCTCTCTGGATATGAGCACAACTGTGTCTGTGTATCACAGTTTTGATGGATAGGACCATGTGTGTCATTCCATGTGGGTATGTTACAGAGCTTATCAATATTTTAGAGGGAGGGTGGTATGTTGAAGCATTTGTATGACAACAATCTAGCTTTCTTGGTGGCTGAGTAGGAGAGAGTGAGTCAGAATGAGTTTGCATAGCTGTGAAAGTGTCTCTGGTGTAATAGCACAGGCATTCATCTTTTCCTGTTCTTCCTGTTTAAGTATATAATTGTCCCATGTGTAATGATTTAATACCTCAATTCATGATAATGGTCTTCTCTACAGAGAATAAAGGATTGGGGAGGGACATCTAAGGGGCTTCAATAACACTGTCTAATTTTTAGATTACTGGTGGAAACACAGAAGTTTATAATATTATTATTAATATTTACACCTTTTGTGTATCAGGTATTTACTACTAATTTAGTGTACAGAAATAAATGTCTCATTTACGTTTATCCAATTCTGGGTGTCCCCATCTCCCTATGGCTATAAAGAGTGTGAGATTCTTTTTTTTTTTTAAGGGGATTTTGTGCTCCTTGTCCTCTCTCCTTTCTTTTTCTAAAAATATATTTTATTGATTTTTTACAGAGAGGAAGGGAGAGGGATAGAGAGTTAGAAACATCAATGAGAGAGAAACATCGATCAGCTGCCTCCTGCACACCCCTATTGGGGATGGGCCTGCAAGCAAGGTACATGCCCTTGACTGGAATCAAACCCAGGACCCTTTCTATTACTGAGCCAAACCA